TTCAAAGGGAAAACAAGCTTTCATTCCCCACTGATGGATATTTGCTCTTGCTTTAAGCATAAACTCACTTACGTTTGTTCAATGTTCTCAGAAAACAAGACTTGCATCTTAAGTAAATATATCTTGATCTAAAGATAGATATTTGTACTGGAAAACTTTTTTTTTTTTGCAGGGCATGCAACATTTAAAGCCACGCCTGTATGAATTTAAGACTTTCTGATCCGATTTAAGACCCTTTTATGGTCTTACATTTGTGAAAGGTTGAATTAAGACCTTTTTAAAACCCTCAGAAACCCTGTTAGGGATTGCACTCACAACTAAATACTTCAGAGCTGAGCATTACCAGAAAAACAACAGCAACACTTGACCCTCTAACACTTGCACTCTCTATTCTATTTCTATTCTATCTGCTTGTTTTCTTTTTATTTATTATATAAAAAAGCTCTTGTGTACTGCATTAAGCTAACTGAGACTTATCACAGCTCTTCCATATTATTGCTCTTTTGTTGATTTTGATTGCTTCTAACAACTAGCAACACACAGGTTCATAAACAAGCGGTAATAATAATAATAACAATAACGCTCTGTCTTACGTGTCAGACTCGTCTGAACAGATGTGAACACTGAAATCAGCTTTAGCTAGATATATATTACACACACGAGCTTAAAAGATCACGAAACCAGTTTCCTGTCATTGATGTTTTGATCAAATTTATCTGTTGTTGACGGAAATCCCTTCACCACAGGAAGCGATGCCAGCGTGTGTGACGCACTTCCTGCGCGCCGCTCGCCAAAATAAAAGTCTGATATAAAATAAAAGTCAATCTACTCATATGTTGTTCAATATTATCCACCTTATATTGCAACTATAGGTGAATAACTACAAGACTTGTCCTGACCAAATATCCACACTTCTAGTATGACTCTCCCATGTCTGATAAAAGTCAAAGCACATGTTAAGCACTCATTATCATGAACATCTCTCAGGAGCAGCATTTGGGGCTGAGTGTGTCCCGCAGATTATGTGTGCAGTGGCCAGGAGCACTGTTTTAACATAAGCTGAAGACAAGGTGGACGATGATGCCGTCTTGGCAACAAAACAGAAAGAAATGGCCATATTTGTGGGCAAAATATAATTGAAATATGTGCTAAATATATGTTGCAAACAGGGAAGCTCAATTAAATATATGTTTGAAATAGGAAATATATTTAGTTTCAAACCTTATATTTCTGGGGCAAGAAAATGCATTTTCTTGGACTGAAATATATAGAGGTCAAAATGCATGCTTTAAAAAATATTCTATATTTAAAATATATTTTCCAAAATATACACACACACACAAAAAGGCCAAAAATATGCTGGTAGAAAATATATGTAGATAAATATATTTCAACAAATATATATATATTTTTAGCCGTATTTTAAAATATGCATTTTTTTCAGTATGGGCAGCCATGTGTATATCATTACTGAATTGGATTAAATCCTACATAGCACTTGAGCACAAACTGAAATACAAAGACTAATGTGTTAAATCGCTATGAAACCAGTTTTGTCTGTATATGCCTCCACACTCAGATCTCTCGTTCCCAGCATGCTTTGCTTCTGACGGTTACAGGAGAGTACAAATGTTCAAATTAAGTGTTTAACAGTCTGTTAGTGCTTAATGTTGTATTATTCTGAAATGTAAAGTGCTTCTGGTGTGTGTAAGTTTGAGTAGAGGCTGTGTTCAGGAAGACGATTGACCAAACACTGTTCAATTATATGTTACTTTATTTAAAAACCAATGGCTGTGCACTAAATGTTTAGTATGAGCGACTATGCTTATGCTACAGTAAACTATCGCTATATTTTAAAATATGAAACATGCATGTCATAAATGATTGTTAAACAAAACATAAGACATTTATATTTCAATATATGTATATACTGCATGAGTAAATATGTCCAATAAGTACATACAAGTACATATGTTCAATATCATATATAATCTTGTGACTTGAACGAGAAAGATGAGTTAATCTGTGCCTCTGTTTGATCAGCCTCAGCTGTATCTGTACTTGTGTTTAAGCTCTGGTGCCTTCACCTCAACACTGAAGAAGAAACAAACACAATATCTAAGATGCTGAATCATGGCTGCATCTTTAGTCATTATGCAGCACAAATGCACATTTTAAGACTAGCTTAGAACATATGTTTCACATATTTTCAGTTACGTGTCCTGATAATAGCTCATAATTAGCTCATAGTCATTATTTTTTTCAAATGATTTATTATGTTAATAATTTGTTACTTACTGTTATGAATTACAAGATGTTACAGTCAATAACAATATAATACTTTGTGTAAAAAGTGTCTTAAATAGCTCAAAATCGTGATTTCTTGTTGTCCGGAATGAGTCAGTGTAATCAAAACATTTTATTGTACTTTTCTTTTTGTAATATTTCATTCATTTGATTTATAAAAGCCCTAAATACTAATTTACTTAATTCTACAACATGAAATTGTTTAAAAGTGACTTTTTTCTTATAAAAATGTGTCTATAAATCTTGCGTCAACTCTGTTACCGTCCTATATTTTGCCGTTAAATTGGTGGATTTTATTGTTTATTATATATTTATTGTTTAAAGTTCTTAAACCAAGAGTTATTTTGAAGAACGCCAACGCTGTTACCACAATATCAAAAGAAAAAACATCATTTATTACTGATCACAAATTGGGTTATTTAAAGGTATTTTAATCATGATTTCATTAGTGCCATGTGCTCTTAGCATTTATGCTCAAGTGGAGTTGTTGGCAAAAATACAATAAAATGGTGAACTCTGTTACCGTCAAACTCTGTTACCAAGGTAGAGTAACAATGCTGACAACAGTGTAACAGAACTGACAGTCCACCGGATAATTCTCTCAATTCTGTTACTTAAAGGGTCAACTCTGTTTATGAACTATTTTCACAAAAAAACTATACAATTGTTGTTTAAAATCTCATAAACATTATTGAGATATGATGCACCCTTATAATATTTCAACAACATTTCTCTCTTTTTTGTTTTTACTGGATATTGTATATAATACATTTTCAGATTAAACATATTTGCTCCAAGTGGACAATTCTGTGAAGACATAGTTTTTTTTGTTTTTTTTTAGGTATGCATAGGTGAAAAATGATCTGAGATTTTAAATGTTGGAATGTAAGGACTGTTTGTCTAATGAAAGAAGAAGGATTTTTCCTTTTATGATTTATTGTTATTTCTACACATTGCCTAATTTGTCCGTAACAGAGTTGACAAACAATACCATAAAGACATCTGTTTTTTCATTAAAAGTAAAAAAAAGGAAGTAACTTGTGTTTGGCAAGCACTGAATTATTCAAATTCGTATCGTCTGAGTATGCAGGGTTACAGCTTATGAGAATTCTCAGCTCGAGTCCGACTGGACACCGTGTCTCTTTTTATGTTTGTTAAATTCAAGTTTCTGTTTTTTTAAAGGAACGACCAAGCGGCAGCGGCAGACAGTGAGTTGAGCATTATGTTTGATCAATTTAGCCTTCTCAAACCAACACGACTTGCCTAAAATAAACAGACATAAAACACTTCATGCATTTCACAGTATTAATCTAAACATTTAACCCAGATAAATGAGCGCTGTTAGGCGCATATCCAATAGCTTGTGCGGAGAGTGGAAGCTAAAGTGCGCTTTGCAGGACACGGAGGCGCCAGCGCAATCACTTGCATTTTCATTTATTTTTATAACAGTGAAAGCTTAAAAATACGCCGTAATTTTTGCTCATAAAGGTAAGAGTACACCTCATTCGGAACTGCAAAGTCTACTTTTATTTGTGTGCACTCACAATATCAACAAAACCTTGTGCTTTTGTAAAATAAGGAAAACAAACAGTATGCGCTTTCTGTCGTCTTGGTCTTGAGCAGGAGCGCCTCACAATGATGAACTGAAACCGACATGATAAATATATCTATATAATGCTTTAAATTACTATTTTAAAACAAAATAATTAAAATCAAAAACTCTTTCTTTATGTAATCCGTAAAGAGGCATTTCTCTCTAAAGGCAGTCCAATGAGGAGATGGCCAGTCAGGTTCGTCAAATTCATTTTTGCGACATTGACTCAGAAAACACTAATTTATTAACAAATAATTCAAATATCCCCTCACTATTTTTTACTTTTTTTGGGCCGCTGTGCCAAAATTGTGTTTGCATTCAGTAGCATACAGCAGCATTTTAGTGCCACATAATATTTTAAGAATAAAGTCAAAATTACGATAATAAAATCATGTTATATTGCGTGAAGTTAACGTGAAAATTCCACCTATAGGCTACTCCCCCCCCAAAAAAAAGTCTGTGGCGTCCGTCATTCTTTTCTTTTTTTAAAAACTCTGATCGATCGATTCATGAGACATTGGTTTGTATCAAATTGTTCAGATTTTTTTCAACATGCAGTTAGTAAACAGAGTGCAAGTCTAAAAGGGGCACGTTTTTAAAAAAAATAAAGAATAGAATTAGAATAGAGAGTGCTAGAGTTAGAGGGTCAAGTGCCACATAATATTTTAAGAATAAAGTCAAAATTACGATAATAAAATCATGTTATATTGCGTGAAGTTAACGTGAAAATTCCACCTATAGGCTACTCCCCCCCCAAAAAAAAGTCTGTGGCGTCCGTCATTCTTTTCTTTTTTTAAAAACTCTGATCGATCGATTCATGAGACATTGGTTTGTATCAAATTGTTCAGATTTTTTTCAACATGCAGTTAGTAAACAGAGTGCAAGTCTAAAAGGGGCACGGTTTTTTAATAAAGAATAGAATTAGAATAGAGAGTGCTAGAGTTAGAGGGTCAAATAAAGATATATATATATATATATATATATAATAACGTAGTATATTACTTTTGAAAGGAGTAACTAGTAATTACATTTTTTGAGGAGCTAGCCCAACACTGTTGGCCAATGGTACGCCGTTTCCTGTGTGCCTCGCCTCTGATTGGTTCATATCTTTGTTTTGCCGGATGTAGGTGTCTGGCTCTGCAGTGGCCATGGCGGAGGTCAGCGGCTGTTTGAGGAGCGGAGCACACAGACTCTCGGTTGCTATAACACTACGGAGACGGTATCATCACGAGTTTACGAGCCCTGCCGGTTCTGCCGGGACTCACGGAGTGACCAACCAACCGCCGACCCGAGGCTACGGCACCGGACCGCGCGAGGAGCACCGGAGCCCAACCGCCTACTACGACATCCTGAGGGTTTCTCCGAGCGCCACGCCAGCGCAGATCAAGAGCGCCTATTATAAACAGTCCTTCATCCACCACCCGGACCGGAACCGGAACCGCAGCGAGGACGCGGCGCGGCACTTCGCGCTCGTCGCAGAAGCCTACAGTGTGCTCGGCGACGGCGGCCTCCGGAGGAAGTACGACCGCGGGATACTCAACCGGAGCGACGCGCAGAGCGCCGGGAGACCGTCGACGCCTCGCCGCGCCCCTGACGCGAGCCCTCACTTCGACTGCGACGCGTTCTATCAGGCGCACTACGGCGAGCAGCTGCAGAGAGAGCAGCAGAGGAGACGCCGGCGAGAGCAGACGCGCCAGCAGCAGCAGACGCAGCTCCGGGCCTGGAGACGCATGAAGATGAACGAGGTCACGGTCGCCCTGCTGCTGCTCTGCGGAGGCGGCATCCTCATCAGCCTGAGGGCCTGAGTCTGCTTCATAGACATGAGCTCTGCTCACCGCCGAAGAAGAAGCAGCAGCATAGCAGTTGTGTTGCTCGCACTTCCTGTGGCTGTGTAGCCTATAGAAGAAGAAGAAGAAGTGCAGCAAACTAACTGCACTGCAATCCAGTGTTTACTAGGATAGCTAAAAGACGAATACAAGTTTGCAGCACTGTACAATCTTGGCCGTCTCAGACACATTTTGTGAATCCTGGAAAATGCATCATGCATCTGTAACTGATTAAGAACCATTGCCATCAAAGTTCACCTACTGTGAGGTTCATCTCTAACATGCACTACCAGTCAGACAGTTTTGATCGCTGAGATTTTTAATGTGTTTAAAGAAGTCTCTTGTGCTCGGCCAGACTGCATTTATTTGATCAGAAATACAGCAAATGCAGTAGCATTGTGAAATATTTTTACTATTCAATATATCAGTTTTCTCTGTGAATATGTGTTAAACTGTGCTGTATTTCTGTGATGTGCAGCTGTATTTTCAGCATCATTACTCCAGTCTTCAGTGTCACACGATCTTCAGAAATCAGTATAATATGCTGATTAAACTATTATTATGATGATGTTGAAAACAGCCGAGTAGAATTTTTTCAGGTTTCTTTGATGAATAGAAAGTAATGCATGTTTCAGAATGATTTCTGAAGGATCGTGTGGCTGGAGAAATGATGCTTTGATCACAGCAGCTGTATTTTCAGCATCATTCCTCCAGTCTTCAGCGTCACATGATCTTCAGAAATCAGTATAATATACCGATTTAAACCATTATTATGATGATGTTGAAAACAGCCGAGTAGAATTTTTTCAGGTTTCTTTGATGAATAGAAAGTAATGCATGTTTCAGAATGATTTCTGAAGGATCGTGTGGCTGGAGAAATGATGCTTTGATCACAGAAATAAATTACATTTTAACAGATATTCACATAGAAAGCAGTTATTTTAAATAGTAAAAATATTTCACAATTTTACTGCTTTTGCTGTATTTTTAATCAAATAAATGCAGGCTTGGTGAGCAGAAGAGACTTCTTTAAACAAACATGAAAAATCGTACTTTTCAAAAACATTTGACTGGTCGTGTAAATAAAAGCAATATTTATTCAGCATACTTGTTGCTGATGTTCATTTTCAATTCCAATAATTAGAACAAAAGAGCTATATATAAATGAATATTATATTTATATATAATATACTATACAGACACGCTGAGAAAGGCTTTGAGCCGAAACATTGGTGTCTTTTCCCATCAGTAATCAATGTGAAATAAAAGAAGAAAGAAGATTGTTCTCGTGAGTGCGGATCATTATTTCTTATACTAAGTAACTCAACAGATTGACGCACCAAAATAAAAAGATCAAGTAACACAAGAGCGCAGTGCAAACGACGTTGTTAAACTCTATAATATACCATGTCATGGGCTTTTGGTTTGTGCAGGATGCCTTACGGTAGTATTAAATGATTTTATAAAACAAGCTTGGCTTTACACACCCACTATGTGGACTAATCGGTGTAGCCGTAGATCTCTCTTTATTCTCCACACTGCATTTATAATGAAAACCTTTCTTTGTGGTTCTTTATTCACAGAAATATAAAGTTTAATGTGAAGGTCATCACTTGATACAAAATCCCAGAATGTTCCAAACTCATTGCACTGTTGGCTTCAAGGATTCATATAAAAACAAAACGCAGTAGTAGACAATGTTAAATAACACGACAAGGGACAGATGCAAGGACTCTACAGCTGGGCTACAACACATCAGTCATTTTCACTTATTCAGCGATGATGAGATATCAAGCACAATATACTTTCTCCCCATATATGTGATTCGTGTAATTATTAGTAATAAACAGTGCAAGGTTTGCGTTCAATGTTGACTTTAAAAGCTAGTTAATTCAATACTGGCCTGTTTCCCCACTTTATTATCCCACAGTTATCATATCCACGAAATCAGTCCAGCTCTACTGCTGCATTGAACAAGTTTCGTCCCTTTATCCAAATGTGACCCTGGAGCACGAAACCAGTCATAAGTGTCTGAATAAAATAAGCTTTCCATTGATGTATGGTTTGTTAGGATAGGACAATATTTGTCTGAGATGCAACTATTAGAAAATCTGGAATCTGAGGGTGCAAAAAAATCTAAATATTGAGAAAATCATCTTTAAAGTTGTTCAAATGAAGGTCTTAGCAATGCATATTACTAATCAAACATTAAGTTTTGATATATTTACGGTAGGACATTTACTAAATATCTTCATGGAACATGATCTTAATATCCTAATGATTTTTGGCATAAAAGAGAAATGTATAATTGTGACCCATACAATGTATTGTTGGCTATTTCTACAAATATCCCCCAGCGACTTAACACCGCTTTTGTGCTGCAGGGACACATATTTATGTTTTGAATCTGAAGCATGACTCGTATCGCTGGAGGTTTGGGTGACACTTAACTGTTGGGACACAACTAGTTCACATTAACAACAAACGACCCAGTTAAAGGTAAAGTTCATGCCGTTTTGGTTCTGTCACTCGTAACGGTTAAAATCATGACTGTTCTTCAAGCACGAGGACTGTTGAGGTTCAACCACAGCAGAGCAGAACCCTTAAGAAGCACACAAACCAAACCAAACACATGAGAAACACAAGCTTTGAGAGAGTCGCAGACACACGGGAAGGTACTGAACATGTTCTCGAACAGACGCGGTCACTGGGCAAATATGGTGAGCTCTGTGGATTGTATTCACGAGACTCTTGAGATGTGAGAGACTCCTGAAATCAGATCCTCATCTGCTTAGAGAGCGAAGCAGTCAAAAAACAGACTTGTGTTCAAATGCAATCGTTTAAATCAAGTTCGCACGAGTTATAAGGGTTTATCAGGTGATCCTGACTTGAATTGGTTATAAAAAGAATATTCATTCTTCATTTACTTTGTCGCTCCGAACATGTACGAGTTTCTTTCTTCTGATGAACATGAAGAAGGATAGTCTGAAGAACGTTGGGACGGTAGCCATTGACTTCCATGGAGAAAAATACTATGGAAGTCAATGGCTGCCAGCAACTGTTTGTATATTTCATACATTTATTCTTTTGTGTTCAACAGAAAGCAGAAACCCTTACAGGTTTGGAACAACATTTATAGAGAATAAATGATTTCTCCTTTTTGGCCGAACTGTCCCTTTAAATAAGACACTCTGCCATTGGTGAAGATCAGGTGATGGTTAGAAGCCCTTTGTGCAGGAAAACATCACGAAAATGTCTCGCACAAAAGTACAGTGATGTCCGAGTCACCACAGCCCATAAAAAGGTTTGTCTTCTTTTACATTTTTGGCCATTGTTTGAAAAATACCAATAGACGAGTGATGAAAAATATCACATTTTACACTCAAAAAAGTACATCCTGAAATCTATCAATGCCCTAAATCCTCCTGACGCTCAAGAGGAAGCTCAGCCAGGTGCAGACCGCTGGAAAGCAGTCATCAGCTATTTTATTGAATCTTTTATTATGAGTGATTTCTTTCTGAATTCTGTGCAGGTGTGTGGGTTCGGCTGCCGGTCGTTCGCGCTGCTGTTTGACGACATCGAGACAGAAATGTGTCCGGCTGATAAAGAGGCGTTCAGCTCGTTTGCTGAAGCTCAGGTGTCCGTCACTAACGAGCTGTTTCTGCATCTGGAGGAGCCACACACCTTCCTCTTCTGCCCCACCGGTGAACACAGGCGTCGCATTCAAAACAGTACATCAGTGATGCTAAAACAACCACAAAATAACCTGAATTGTGTGTATGTGGCCCTGGAGCACAAAACCAGTCATAAGTGTCAATTTTGTGAAATTGAGATGTATGCATCATCTGAAGCTGAATAAATAAGCTTTCCATTGATGTATGGTTTGTTAGGATAGGACAATATTTGTCTGAGATGCAACTATTAGAAAATCTGGAATCTGAGGGTGCAAAAAAATCTAAATATTGAGAAAATCATCTTTAAAGTTGTTCAAATGAAGGTCTTAGCAATGCATATTACTAATCAAACATTAAGTTTTGATATATTTACGGTAGGAGATTTACTAAATATCTTCATGGAACATGATCTTTACTTAATATCCTAATGATTTTTGGCATAAAAGAGAAATGTATAATTGTGACCCATACAATGTATTGTTGGCTATTTCTACAAATATCCCCCAGCGACTCAACACTGCTTTTGTGCTGCAGGGTCACATATTTATGTTTTGAATCTGAAGCATGACTCGTATCGCTGGAGGTTTGGGTGACACTTAACTGTTGGGACACAACTAGTTCACATTAACAACAAACGACCCAGTTAAAGGTAAAGTTCATGCCGTTTTGGTTCTGTCACTCGTAACGGTTAAAATCATGACTGTTCTTCAAGCACGAGGACTGTTGAGGTTCAACCACAGCAGAGCAGAACCCTTAAGAAGCACACAAACCAAACCAAACACATGAGAAACACAAGCTTTGAGAGAGTCGCAGACACACGGGAAGGTACTGAACATGTTCTCGAACAGACGCGGTCACTGGGCAAATATGGTGAGCTCTGTGGATTGTATTCACGAGACTCTTGAGATGTGAGAGACTCCTGAAATCAGATCCTCATCTGCTTAGAGAGCGAAGCAGTCAAAAAACAGACTTGTGTTCAAATGCAATCGTTTAAATCAAGTTCGCACGAGTTATAAGGGTTTATCAGGTGATCCTGACTTGAATTGGTTATAAAAAGAATATTCATTCTTCATTTACTTTGTCGCTCCGAACATGTACGAGTTTCTTTCTTCTGATGAACATGAAGAAGGATAGTCTGAAGAACGTTGGGACGGTAGCCATTGACTTCCATGGAGAAAAATACTATGGAAGTCAATGGCTGCCAGCAACTGTTTGTATATTTCATACATTTATTCTTTTGTGTTCAACAGAAAGCAGAAACCCTTACAGGTTTGGAACAACATTTATAGAGAATAAATGATTTCTCCTTTTTGGCCGAACTGTCCCTTTAAATAAGACACTCTGCCATTGGTGAAGATCAGGTGATGGTTAGAAGCCCTTTGTGCAGGAAAACATCACGAAAATGTCTCGCACAAAAGTACAGTGATGTCCGAGTCACCACAGCCCATAAAAGGTTTGTCTTCTTTTACATTTTTGGCCATTGTTTGAAAAATACCAATAGACGAGTGATGAAAAATATCACATTTTACACTCAAAAAAGTACATCCCGAAATCTATCAATGCCCTAAATCCTCCTGACTACCAGCTATGGAGTTTGTCCTCTGTAGAGGACATTGCTTTAGTGATTTCTCGGAGACGTTACATGACACAGTTGTAAGTCTGGAGTCCTGTATGGAGCACATTCAGGGCTTTCCAGAGATACCAGATGATTGGATGCTTCACCGTGACCTCTCCCTCTCCTTGCTCTTTAAAAACGGCTGACATTCATTTAGTGATCAAGTGTAACACCCTTATGGAACTATGACAATATTTTGTAATTATCATTTAAATCTGACTAATTTTCAAATTGTTTGTCATAAATCAACAT